CTACAGTGACACATCAGCAGTGCCACGTCAGACACAGTGACACGTCAGCAGTGCCACGTCAGACACAGTGACACATCAGCTACAGTGACACGTCAGCAGTGCCACGTCAGACACAGTGACACGTCAGCTACAGTGACACGTCTACAGTGACACGTCAGACACAGTGACACGTCAGCAGTGCCACGTCAGACACAGTGACACGTCAGCTACAGTGACACGCCAACAGTGCCACGTCAGACACAGTGCCACGTCAGACACAGTGCCACGTCAGACACAGTGCCACGTCAGACACCATGCCACATCAGCAGTGCTACGTCAGCAACATGACGGGCCTGCCAGGCCAACTGGCCAATGAGCCCATTGCCGACTACAAAAAGTGTTTCCAGGCTCAGCTCGCTTTCATCGAGGCTGAGGAACAACACCAGCTGGCAGCCGCAGCTGCCCAGCTACAGGCTGAAGAAGCGGCAACAGCAGAGAAGCTGCGGCTACAGGCCGAAGCAGACGCAGATGCCCAGGCTCACCGCAAGGAAGCCCAGGATCTGCTGCAGCGGCATGAAGCCAACAGCATCGACAGACTCAAGTTTTGGCACTTTGAACCGAACGGCGACGAGGCAACACCGGAAGAGCAGCATAAGGAGTTCATGGCCAAGCTCGTGACCAGGTTGGTTTACACTTGTAACCACCTACAGTCCGAGTTGGGGAACCTCCAGTGGGCCGTGCGGAACCATAAGACTCAGCACGAGGATGCCACACGGGCACTGGACGCCCGTGCATAGGACTTGGAACAAGTTCCACCAAGACCAGATGCTAGGGCTTCCAGCAGTGCATCCTCTAGCCGCCAACTGGAGGAACACGTTGACCACGTAGTGGCAATGCTAGAAGACATAAGTGCCTTCACAGAGCCGGCCACCATCAGCCAGCGGCTCGAGTTGCTGGACACCAAGATCAGTCAGCAACAGCAGACCGACCACAACCACAACAACAGCTCGGCGAGGCCATACAAGATGCCGACGTTCCGGATCGAGAAATTTGATGACTACACACATCAAGACCCGGTCGTCTGGTGGCAAGGATTTACAACGGAGTTGGGGATTCACGAGGTCCCTGACCATTTGTTCATCAGTGCTCTGTTCATCAACACCAAGGGAGGATGTCAGATCTGGCTCCGCCACATGGCAACCATCCACGACATCCAGGTTTCAGACTTGTACAAGAAGGTCTCCTGGGAGGATATGACAAAGGAATGGAAGAAGCGGTTCATCGTTGATGACGCCCCGACACTTGCCATCAACCGCATCTTCACGATGGCTCAAGGGAGCACACCGACACGTGACTGGCTCACGGATTGGCAGAAGATCGTGTCAACACCCGATTTGGACTTGCCATTTCCGCATCTGCACCGTGAGTTCTACAACAGGTCATGCGCCGCTCTCAGCCTCGCACTTGGTGATCGCGAGCAGTACAACACTTTCGCAGAGATCACCAACAAGGCGAGGGAGGTCATCAAGACCAACAGGGCAGCTGCACACGAGAAGTCAACGTGGCAGCCAACCTATGTGGAGAAGGTAAGAACTGGTCCGCGACAACAGCAGTTCGCTGCAGTTCAATCGGACAGTGGAGAAGACCCAGCAGCCACTCCAACATCACGTGAGGGAGATCAGGTGGCTGCTGTCCAGCCGCGAAGCAACAAGCC